GTCGATTACAGTTTTTCTTTCTTTGTGATTCTTCTGCACTATCAGAAATGCTTTAGACAGTTCTTGTGTTTCCTAAGTAAGTCCCATATGGCAGGAAAAAATGGAAAAGTTGTACCGAATGCATATTGCAGTGATACAGCTGGTGTGTAAATAATCTCTTTGGTTTGTCAAGGGAGCATGGAAATTGCTTTTGCAAACCTCCCAATTGATTCATTACATTCAGGGACAATATATTCCTGGCTGTTTGCCTGGCTATTTCTGCTTGTTGATTATTATTATTATTTTTTACCAATCAAGGGAGCATCAATGCAGCTTCTCCTTTAGATGTTGGAGATTGTTGTGGAAGTTCAGCACATTAGGAGGGTATCAGACGAGGAAGAGTAGCAGAAATTATTGGAATCACACATAGAGAGGCAACTCTTAACCTCTTGGCTAAGAAAGATTTATTTCCTTTCTCCAAACTTGAAAAATGTTCTAGTTATTTAATCTAAAATATTTCTTGCACTCGTTTAAAGGCAAAAATCCTCCAAGGCAGTTGAAGCAATATACCCACCTATAATGAAAAAAATTAAATAATAAAGCATGAATTTATTAAACCAGCTGTTAAAATATCTAGGCCATGATTGATTTGTGGGTGATTATTACGTGTGTACACCAGTGGTAGTCAACCTGGTCCCTACTGCCCACTAGTGGGCGTTCCAGCTTTCATGGTGGGCGGTAGGGGTTTTGTCCGATACTGAAGCATTTTTCTTTTTTTTAATTTAATTGACTTAAAAAAGAAATTCATAGCATTATTTAAAAATCTTCATTAGGTTTTCATAAAATCACCATTACTGTGGAACTGGTGGGCAGTTAGAAAATTTTATTACTAACAGAGATACAGAAGTGGGTGGTAGGTATAAAAAGGTTGACTACCCCTGGTGTACACATACCACATCCTTAAGCAAGAGAGAATATTTTATATCCAAAGAGGGCATTTCACTGTAAAAGAGTCTAAAGGAATTTTGTGGATACTAAAAGAACCATTACTCAAAACAGCGGGACTAGAATCTTCAACTTTTGATAGAACATTTTGAGGTTTATGTTATGGCTCTAGTGACATAAGCATGCTAAGCCTACTGGATGTTTAATCTTCCCATTTTAGTACTTATTTTTAAAAATAGCAATCCCTCCCCCCAACCAACATCCAACCGCAGTACTGAAATGTACTTTGATCAGTGTGATTGCTAAAGGCTGAAGTTAAGGCTGTGAGGTCAAAAGTTGCCATCATGGGGCAAAGCGTGAGGGAGAAAATGAAGTGCTCATGACAGCATCATCACATACTTGCACTGGATCTCCGGGGTACAAGTACATCATGGTGGCATATGTGTGATGAAGCTGTCTACGTATATCACCATCTTGGCATCATCATATCCTGCTGCAGATTGTGCTGTTGACTAGCCCTGATTTATGTGAGTAAAAATATATAAATTATATTGATTACCTATAAGAGCAGGTTACATAAGCATATAAACAATAAAGAGTATCAATCTTAAAACTTGAGAAGGTTATAATAATTATTACAACCTACCATTTTCTCTTGGAAAAATCCAATTTTATAAATGTCAAACAATATAATGCTGCCAATTTGTAAATCAAATATAATATGACCTTCAACAACAAATAAGCATATTCTGAAATTACTTCGGCACATGGAAGTTAAAATAATTATGCTATATTGCTTACGGCTTGCTATATTATTGTTGCATATTTCATTTCTTGTAAAATTTTGCTTTAATCTTGTCTTTGCTTCTCGTATCTTCTGGAGCTGAATGCAGTTTTAAATACAATTTCTATAATTGAATACATTTTTTATTCTGAATTGTGGCCAAAAGCAACTGTAATTGCAGATGATAGCAAGAAGCTTTCTCTACCAGGCTTCATGATATATTAAAAAGAAAAGGGCAATTAGTTGCAAGTGTTTTTCTCACAAATCCAATCATGGAGTGTACAGATTTCAAGAGCAAACTTTCAGGCACCTGACTGAAGCAATTGAAGAACAACAGATATTTAGCAACTAATTCTAATGATGCCAAACCACAATGGCCAATTCTGCAACTTACATCTAAGCAAGTTGTATCAATAAATATTGTACCTTTATAATGGTGTATAACAACAATTAAAAACAGATGTTTAATGCCACATTTTCTAGACTACTTTAAAATACAGGGGGCCACTTCTGCCTCATAACCCAATAATTTTTGATGTACCTCCTCCTCCACCATCACCACTGAGACTGGCATGTGTTGCCATCAATTTTTAGACGGACCACACTGCTGAAATTTAGTGGCAAATCATTTGAAGTGACATGAAAGAGAGAAATGGAAAACATTCAATATACTGCATATTTGTAGTAAGTTAAACTCCAGAAATATTGGACGGGAGGAGGAGGAGGAGGAGGAGGAAAGGAAGGAAGGAAGGAAGGAAGGAAGGAAGGAAGGAAAGAAGGAAGGAAGGAAGGAGGAGGATAATAAATGGAGCACTGCTTTCATGCCTTTCCCTCAGATCTTGTGAAAACTGTAGTTGGCACCCAAAGTGTTTTCTATGAGTGTGGATATGTGTGAATTTATTCATTCATTTTCCTGGTCCTATGGCTCTTAATAGTTTGTAAAAGGTTCAATGAGATCATGACCCTATTCATGATTATACATTAATTCTTTAAAAAGGCCATTTAATGGGGGGGAAATCATGTAGTCTTGGAAGAAATTCCTTTTTTCTTGTTAATTAAAAATAGTAACTTGGTAACTGTATCCTGTTTACAACATTATAAAGGCACTTTACAATAATCCTCCTCTTCCTCCATTAAATAAATTTGTAATATTGCATAATTATGAATATGGTACCACTTCCATTAATATCCATTATTGGATATTAGCAAAATATTTGTTATGTAATTAGGGCATATGAAAATAGCAAGGTTCAGCTACTTGTACAGGTAGTCCTTGACTTAGAACCATTCATTTAGTGACTGTTCAAAGTTTCAACAGTGCTAAAAAAAACTGACTTACAACCTATCCCCAAGCCTCTCCAGTAACATGATCCAAATTCAGGTGCTTGCTAACTGGCATGTATTTAATAGCTTTAGTGTCTTGGGTTCACGTGATCACTACTTGCAACTTACTCAGCTGGCTTCTGACAAGCAAAGTCAGTGAGGGGAAGCTGGATTAATGACTGCATAATTAACTTAACTGTGGTGATTCACTTAACTGTGGCAAAAAAGGTCAAAATCAGGCACAACTCACTTAACTGCCTTGTTTAGAAATGGACATTCTGATCCCAAGTTGTACGTTAAGGACCACCAGTAATAAATTTGTGGTTTCACTTTTTGATTTTCATAGTAACAAAATAAATTAGGAATTTAATGTGGAGCCGTTGAGGAGCCTTCCAATCTTCTGACTCAAACAGCCCTGCATGGTTCATGCACAGTTCATACACCCTTTTATAAGAAATTGCTGTTTGAAATTATTGGAATGCAATTCCAAAAATCAATTGTGTTTAATTCTTAAAAATGGATCTAGTGGCAAATTATTTCTGAAAGGTGGGAAGTTGATTTTTTTAATATTGCTTTGAGCCAGTCCAGAAGAGGACATTTCAACTTCTCTCATGCAGAAAAGGCAAAAATATATATTTACTGGTTGATTTATGTGTAGCCCGAGACCAAATAAAACCACACTGCAAACTCAAAATTAAAAAGAATAAAAAATGTACAGCAAATTGTAGGGAAAAAAGTGGAGTGAAATAATGAACAGACCTGTAAGAGTGATATCAAGATTTGTAGATAGATTTTTCAGTCCATTGGAGCTGCTCCTTCCTCTTTGGAAAAACTCACCTGAGGAGTGGGGGAGATTGTCACACCTGTCTCACTTTTTAGTGCTTGAGGCAGACTTGGAGTCTGGGAGTAGAGTCCATTTAATGAGTTGTTCCTCAGCTTTGGGACTGTTTATCAATTTTATATTTGGTGTCTTTTTTATTAAGTAACTTTACTGGATTTATTACAGTATTGTTCTTTAGTGATGGATGCTGCTGTTTCTGAATTGCAGGAGTAGCATCTCGGGTTATGGAGATGAGTTAGTTTTTGTTTTGAAATTTCCAATAAACCTACAGTACCTTGAAGTTTAGACTACATTTTAAATGACTGGTTCTTACTCTGAAATGGTAGAAAAATATCTCTCCATTTTCAGGTCACTCTGGAGCTACTGAAGAGTTTAAAGACGACATACAATTTTGGTGCTTCAGGTTACCTCAGAACTAAAATACAGTTAAATGTTTCATGTATGCAAAACCTCAGAACTTCTGAAAGGGAAACAATTCCCCCCCCCCCTCAGAACTGTATACCTGCATCACTACAACTTTGTGTGAGAGACTGGCCAAAGCCCAAATAGCGATTGATCCAAGGCCACTCAGTGATTTTCACAGCGTAATGGTGGATATTTATGCACTTCTTGTCCAACATCTTAAACACTGCATCAGAATAGAGGCCGGTTCTATCTTCAATTGTGATTTACACTGTCTTTAAAATGCCAAAGTTGGGAAATCAAAGCACTCAATCAGTTTTCTCTGGATTATGCTTCCCCCAAGCCCTAGCACAGAAACTGGTAATTACAGAAACTCTGTAGAATGTCAAAATAACCAAGGGGCACAACTAAACACCCGATGAAATGCATTTATCTTGCATGGCTGTAATGTAATCTGAAATGTTTTTATATTTGGAATCTTGGATCCTAACTTGAGTCCTGTTTTTGAAAGAGGGATTTCCTCCCTAATCTTTTACAATCCTTTAAACTCTCTCAGAATTCTTTATACTAGTATGAGATTTCATAAAATGGGTTGCAGCATAATTTATAATGATTTTCAGCACACAGTAACGAAACATTTAAATGATCAATGTTACTTGGTTCATAGCACAATGTATATGCACAAGATAGCAGAAACATCAGAAAGTCATTTTAATATTTTAATAGATTAAAGAAAACTCAGTAACATATCAAACATTACTGTTTTTGCCTTAGTTAACAAAAATCCAAAAATTATGAATTTTCTTAAACTCAAAAATTGTTCATCATGGAAATGGACTGGACTGGAAGAATACATTATGTAATACCTCAAAGTAAAACTACGGTAAACTGTTTTATGACCAGATTTTATGAAAAGGCCAAACACAAATAGGGAGGTTTAATTTAGATTTCTTCTATAGTGAAAACTGACATTTTGCATGAATGATCAAGCCCTTATATCTTTTTTAAAAATTCTGTACAAAATCTTAAATTATAAACAAGAATGCTATCTCAAAACATTTTAAAACAAGGAAGCAACTACTGGTCTTTTGGCTTGGTTTCTGTCATAATATGGAAATTGGCAGCTAAAGCCAACGTTAGTTCATTATTTCAATGCAAGTGAATTCTGACATGTATTTTTTCCCTTGGCACATCATAAATCACCACAGGACAAATGCCAATTCTGCCATCCTGTGATAGATTCCACATTGAAATGTTGGAAGTCAAAATGGGAATCCAATGTCATATTCCATACTGACTGTACCTTAGTAACTTAGGTATAAAGTGTAACATATTCATATTGTTTAGCCTTTTATTTTAAATAACAAAAGCAGAGCAATAATTGGGAAGGTGTGAGAGATTACAAGGTGTTACGGTACAATTCTTGCTCTTACTAGTCAGGCAAATCTATGACCAGTATAATTAAAAATGCTCTGAGTATCTAGTTAAACATTCTGGAATAAAATAATAACAAAATATTGAAATCATAATTTGACAGTTACATACAACCAAGAGCATAATAATGTAATATTTTCCTTAAATTGCGAAGGCCTACAGTTATTAGGTACTAAACAGGGGTAAAATAAAAAAGGTGTATTAATTGAATAAAATGGTTATAATTCATCAGATTCCAACCAATTTTAGTGCTGCTGTGCAGAATCTAGTTACTTGTGCTGTGACTACAATCTGTTGGTCTTTAAAAGAACCACTGAAGATAAATGATGTCCGAACAGTTAGGTTAGTTATCTGGAAAATAAATTTTGCTCAAACGTCTGTATAAAAAGAGCAGCAAAGAAGGCTGTGTCCAGAAGTTGCCACCTCTCCATAATCACAAGGACATAGCTTTTCAGCCAGTAGTATCCCTTTATATTTGCTGTCCAGGATGGCTAAGGGAAGTCTATAGCATCATGCAAGTGAAAACACTTTCTGATGATTCACTATCTCTAACTGGCTAAGATAACGGGCAGGAGTCACTTGCTTTTACCAAAAGTTTGATCAAATCTTTTGTTACTACTTTTTAGGACCAGTAGCAGATTCTTCAAAAGAAACAAGAACAATATTTTGCATGAATTATAAACAATACATTCATATTATTACCCTCTTACTACCTAAGTACTGTATGTTGTAAACTAGCTAATTTTCTAAATTGTTTTTTTAAATCTTGATCCCGAAAATATCTACTATAAATGTTTATCTCTCTTTTTTTATATCAAAAATATTTCTGGCCAAAAAGCCAGTTCTTTATAAGAACACCAGCATTCTTTACAGTACTGGCATTGAATTGATCTCCTTTACTTACTAATATAGCTAGTAAACACTTCATTTAGTAACTTTATAGTTGGATATGCGCTTATCTGCATACAGGGCTTGTATCAAGAGTATTAATGTATAAATCCCATGTTTTCTGGAAGTTGGCTCAATTAAGTTGGGAACTTGAACCTGCATCTTTAATCACTAGCAGACACAAATGCATGTCTACTATTGGCTACCCATTATGCTATGCCATTTTTACACCTGCTATAAAAAAGAAAAATGACTGAATTTTCCTTAAAGCTACTGAATATATTTGATTCAGGGGTTTTTCATTATTTTTAAAAAATATTTTCAAATGTTAAATATTACTAGCATATATTTTGGGAATGCATGCCTATGTTCATACATTTTTTTAAAAAGTATATGCAACATACCATTCCATAGATAGGATTCAATTTCTCCCACCCAACATATTGTACAAATTAACAATAGGTGGAATTTGAAGACATGACGATTATGACAAAGTGCAAACAAAAAAAAGGAAGCTTTAGGTTTGGATTTAAAATTTAAAACTTTTGAAGCAAAACTTAAAATTAATGTTATGACCACAGATTAGATTATTATAGGAAAAATATTAAGATTAACATATAACTGGGCATTGCAATTGAAGTAATAGTATTTTTCAAATCATGTTCTGAAAATGTTCTGCTTGTTTTTGTGGAAACCTTGTTTTTTAAAGTATGTATTTTACTGAACAATTTTTTCTTCACTGATAATTATAACTCTCTTAAATTCCAAAGTGCAAATGAACATTGGTTTGCTTAAGTATTATTGTCTTAAGTAGTATATAATCAACTGTAGTTTACTTCTTTTCTAGTGACCTTTACTTATTTTTTGTTTTATCATTTTTATCATTTTGAAAGAAAAATTAAGACAAATTACAAATTGGGAGAATTACTTTAAGCACACTAAATCACTAAATTCCTATGCTCAATGAGAACAGATTTGTATATGAACAGAAAACCTTTACATCAAACTGTCCTTGAATTTCAGATGCAGCTAATCACAGAATGTGGAAGATTTGGAGATAGCTAAAACTAAGAAAGGAAGGAAGGAAGGAAAGAAGGAAAAGAAAGAAAGAAAAGAAAAACAACCACCAGCTGCAGAGAGCTGCAGTGTGAGTTGTACATTAATCTGAAAAACACTGTGGAAAGCCTACAATTGTAAAAAAAAAGTCCAAATTCCTTTAAAATGTTTTCTTATTAAACATTAAAACATTTTCACTTCGATTTTACCATTATTATTAATTGCTACATTGTGTATCCTGGAAGCTTGTTTATTACTAATTCACTGATATGTTTACACTGATTTGTATTATTCATCTTTCCGAAGCTATCTTCTTTTTCGTTGCCAGGTGCTTTGCTTTCTTCTAGACCACTAAATTCAAGGTCAGACATACTAGAGGGCAAATAAGAACTAACTTGAGATGTCCTTGCAGAATGGCTGTTTTCTAGAGGTGACTGGCTTTTTACCATGTTACACTTTTTATCAGGCTGTATTCGTTCGTCCTCAAAAGTCTGCGTAACTTTTTCCTTTTCATGAATTGCAAGTTGGTCTCTTAAAGTTCTTGCAAGGGAATCATCATCAAATATGTTCAATCCAATGCCTAATTTGTTTTTGTTAGATTTTAAGTTGTATGTCTTTTTACGAGTCTGAACAGGAGATATAGCTGAAACCTTCGGAAGAAGAGGTGAAATACATTTAGCAGGAAGACTTCTGGAATTTTTAGAGTTGGAGTCCATGCCTGACTGACTGTGATCTGAGTTTATAGATAAAGGTCCAGGACTGTTCTCTGGAGCTTCAAAGCTTTCACCACAACTGTCAATACTGGTAAAATCTTCTGAATAGGCTGCATTTTCAGAAGTAACTACTAAACTATCTGAATTCTGACGTGCATGACTCTTTTCCAAGTTGTTGGTGTGTCTATCTATATATATATATGGAATGTTACAATCATGTTGCAAACATTTTTCTATCTCAGCATCTACTGGATTTTCAAGGGCTTCAGTGTCCTGTAAAAAGACTCTTGGCAGATGGACTTCCAAGCTCTTTTCTTTATAATTAGAATCAACATTTTCATACAAGTACTTCCTTTTGTCATTGTCTTTATTCTTCATACAACTGGCTCCAATTTTTTTGGTAATACGAGAGTTTATTTTCTTTGTGGTCATAGAGCTATTTCGGCCAACACTGCTTTGTATTAAAGTCTCAACATTTTCATTAATTTGAGCATTTTGATCATAGATACTTTTTTCATCATATTGCCCAGAAGACTTTGGATGATAGTCAAGGGAGCCCTTGAATATTTTTTCTTTAGTCAAAGAGCTTTTACCTTTTTTTTCAAATGATATGTCGCCAAGTTTTTTACGACGATGTTCTCTCTTTTCATGAACCTTCAACATACCTGGACTGGATCGCTGAACACGAAGCTTTAATGTATTCTGCATCCCATTAGAGATTTTCCTTCTAGTGAGAGAACTGTCTTTGGTATTAACTTTTTCGGGGCTCACAGGTCTGTCAGTGTATAGTGGTTTTGTACAGGTTTTGCCAGAACAGATAGGAGACATGCATTTTAAATGATCTGGGCGATTTCTTTTTAATTTAGGACTAGGTGATCTTCCTCTTTCTTTGCGATGTGGGGTGTTCTTCTTATCATCCCAGCAGGCACACAGATTCTTACCATTACAGGGTAAGATTTTTGTACCATCTTCTACATTTTGATATAGCCATGCCAACTGAGGATGCACAGTAGAGGGTCCTGGTGGTAGGGGCTGGCTATTTAACAAGGAGAGTTCTACCAGCAAAGCATTCAGTAGAGGCAACTGAGTTAAAGTCTGCCTGAGCTGTTCTGAAGAACTTGGTGTTGGTATGTTGCCGAGTAAGGGTGACAGAGCCTTCTCAGTACTAACTACAGGCTCCTCCTTAACAAAAGGTAAAGAAGTTCCTTCCTTGGGAAGTGAATCTTGAGCGGCCATGATTATCACTCTTGCTGCAGCTTTAGGGCTGGGGAAGCAACTTTCTGTTTGATGACTGTAATACATTGGTGGGGGATAAAAGGCATTGTTGTCCAACTCTCCTGCGATTTCTTCTCCGCTTGAGCTACCAGAAAAGAGCTCTGGGTCGGTATCAGGGCTGCTTAAGGACCCCCGGCTGGGGGCAGGGTCCTGCTCCTCCTCTCCTTCCGAGATGAACTCCAGACTGAGCCTTGGCTCCGCAGTTCTCCTCCGCGGACAGTCTCCAGAGAGGGTTTCGTCCACCGCCGCCCCTTGATCGAAGTGATCTAGGCCCGAGGAGCCCAGGCTGTTGAGACGGTAGCTCAGCGCCAGTTCCCCCACTGGTTCTCCCAGCAGGTCGCGCACCGGGAAGTGGCCCCTTCCAGTCGCCGGCCCCGAGCCAGGCAACAATTCCTCGGCGGCGGCCGCCAAAGAGATGCTGGACGACCCGAGCAGGCGGGCGGGACCCTGGTTGGGAGGCAGCGCCAGGAGCAGCGCGTGGAGCGGAGAGCGCCGCAAGAGGCCCTTCAGAGCGTCCGGCCGCAGCCTGAAGAGGCACGACTTGCCCCGCCCGAAGAGTACCACTGGCCAGGACGCGGCCCGCGGGGCGTGGACCAGGAGGGTCGGGAAATCCAGCAGCCGGAGAGCCACAGACGGCAGGAAGGGCCCGCTGTCCGGTAGCAGCGACGGCAGTAGCCGGGGTTGCACGCGCGCTGACTCCACCAGCAGCTCCAACGAGAAGAGATGCTCCCCGCAGCCATCGCCCCCCTCCATGCCAGCCCGGCGCCCCAGATGGCTTCTCAAAGGAAGGAAGGCCGCGGTTCTCGCGAGACTTGGAGGCAAACCGCGCGACAGCCGGGACGCGGCCTCCCCGTGTATAATGATTGCTATGGAAGCGGCGGCCCTCCGTTGTCTAGCGACTGTTTGCCGTCGCTGCGCTTCAGCGCAGGGGGGGGGGGGCGCAAGGACCTCTGGGAATGCGAGCTCCTTGTGCGGTCGCCGAGCCCTGGGAAGGGATGCTTGAGAACGCTTCCGAAAGGCGGGCGTTGCCTTCAGGCTGAAAGTCCCAAAGGTGCTTTTTAAAGAGGAAACTGGACTTTCTAGATTTGCTTTGAAGACGCTTCGCTTCTCATCAACGAAGCTTCTTCAGCTCTTCTTGGATGAGATCGTCTTCAAGGAATAACTATCCTCACTTATTCGTATCCATTTCCTGTTTTCATAATCATGTTTACACTTAATATTTGTTATATTATACATGCTTGTCAAAATAAAAAATAAAAACCAGAAAGTCCAGTTGCCTCTTTAAAAAAGCAACTTGTACACAACAATGACCAGGATGACTGAGAATCCCCATAGACTTCAGGCTGAAGGTCTAGACTGCGCAGTTGCCCGAGGAGACACGAACTACGAGTTGAATACTTTGACCGCGGCTAGTAATACTGTGCTCCTCTGTCGGGACGCTAACGATTCGTGAAAGCTGCCTGTGCTGATAACTTCTTAAAAGTTCTAGAGGCCAAGAATACTTTAAAAATTTTTTTTTATTACATTATAGAATAAAATACAAAAATATGAAAGCGAATAATAGGACACAAGAGGAAAGGAGGGGAAGGGGAGTGAGAGAAAAGAGAAAAAGCGTTGACTTCCGATTCTCTGTGTTGCAGTAGAATACTTCTCCAAAATAATATAAACTAGTCATTTCTATAAAACAAATCAATCTAATCAGTAAAACCCAAAACCAAAATTTAATTTTTTCCACCTCAAGGACAAAGTCCATAAGCGGGTTCCATATAACAAGAAAAGTACTTGTATTCTTTTATTTAACCAAAACTTAGCCATCTCTGCCAGCTCCATCAACTTCTGTAGCCATTCATCCATGGTGAGAATCGAAATGCCTTTCCATTTTTGGCATACAGTAGTCTTTTTGCCCAGAGTCCAAGAATACTGAACTAGGTAAGATAATAAAATAAAATGCCTTTAAAAAAGGGTGAGTGGGTGGGTTAACACACCAGTTTTAATGCTGAAGCATTTGGGATCTGTAAACTTGGAGTCCTCTCCCATGGGAAAATGGGGTTCCATTGTATTAAGGATCCTCTCCATTTTTGCTGCAGATTAGAATCCAATGGTTCAAGTTTGATTTGTAATATTTTATTTATCGAGGGATAATTAAATGGGTTCTTCTAGCATTTTTATGCTTCAAAACTTACTCATTTTCTGTGTGCAGAATACTCCACAGTGAGAAGAAATAGAAATCTAGCTGAAAATGAATGTGTTTGTATTTATAACTCTTGCTTTCCCCCTGATAAATATGTGTATGCATGGAAGCCTGTTTATTTTATTATTTTATTTATTTTTATTTTATTCATTTTATCCTCACAGTAACCCCATAAAATAGATTAGGCTGCAAATACTGATTAGCTTAAAGTCACCCACTTGATTAATGGGTTTTTATCTCTCATTATGGTACTATAATCATAATATTCTTCTGAATGATGTGCACAATCCATGCACATTTAAATTCTTTAATTTGGAGAATTAAACATTAAGCATGTGACCGTTGCTTTCTGGTTAAGATAAATAGTAAAACGAACACTTAACTTTCCTTAAAGGTTTAAAAATAGTTTCTATCCTTGGGTTGTCAGACTTTTAAATACAACCACAATAACTTCATGCACATGCGGAAAAGTATGACTAGTTTTTTCTTTTTCTTTCTTTTCTTGTTTCTGCTATAATTTTGCACCAGTGAGGCTAAAAAACAATTTAGTTGAATTTATTTTGTACAATGACAATAAAGACTATACTACTTAATTGTACCTCGTATTTGTGCTTTTTCTATGCAGGCTTGCTTGAATCAATGACCGTTAGTTAATAATTGCATGTTTTCATTGGTATACCCATACACATCTATGCAAATGGTGCTGAAAATGATTGAGGGTTAGGAGTGGCCACATTTTTTTGTGTGGACACTGGACACACTTTAGAAATGAAACAGAAATTGGAGTAGATTCAGAAAATGCCTAAGAGGATTATGGGAGACTAGTAATTAAGTCCTAAGAAGACAGGTGAAAGAATGTGGCTATGGTTTGCATTGAAAAAACATTACTAAAGTGAGATATGAAAGCACTTTTCAGATACCTGGAAAGATGTCACATAAAATATCAAGATCTATTCTCTTATTTCAAAAATTAATTACAAGAAAACATATTTTAATCCGTGGCACGACAAAACCGCGGTCCACTAAAGCGCGCCCGATTAAAGCGCGTACCTGACGTCATCAGCAGCGCGACAAATATGACAGCGGAGAAAAAAGGGCGCTTTAAAAAGCGCTTTTAAAGCAAGCCGATTCACGTAAAGGTAAGGGTTAGGGTTAGGGTTAGGGTTAGGTTAAGGGTTAGGGTTAGGTTTAGGGTTAGGTTAAGGGTTAGTGTTAGGTTTAGCATTAGGTTAAGGGTTAGGGTTAGGTTTAGGGTTAGGTTAAGGGTTAGGTTTAGGTTTGGGGGGGTTAGGGTAAGATTTTCGCATTAAATTTAACTTTACCGCTCACAGCGTGATGTTTTCGTCACGCTGTGATGACGTCAGGTACGCGCTTTCGTCGAGCGCGCTTTAGTCTACCGCGGTTTTGTGGTGGAACCTTTTAATCAAATATTACAAATGTTCTTTAAAAAAAATCCAATGCTAAGAGCAGCAGACTGGAATCAATCAGAACAGGTGGAAAGCCATCTTCAAGCAAAGACTGGGAAGCTATAATTGTATCTCTGATTATTCAATTTAGATTCCTGTTCTGGGCAGGGATTGATCTTCATAACCTATATAGCCTCTCAAATTCTATGATTCTAAATTTTGTGTGTTTAACTATTGTTAACTATCAGTACTTGCTCAGGTGCTAAATTTTTGCCAAGATGTTTGGTAATAATAACAAATCTATCAATTACTATACAAATTCGGAACATAACATCTTTATGTTTTACTGATTTTATTGTAATATAATTGTTGTAAATTGCCCAGAATAATTGAACATTGGGTGGCAATTTATTATTGCATATGGTATTTCTTGAAACTGATAAATGAATGATTGCAGAATTTCCTTTTCATAACTTTTTTATTCTGATGAGCAAAAAGTAAAAAGAATGGCAAAATACAAGACAGTTATAAATAGAAAATGGCAAGATATGGATTCTTGTAAAACTGTCAGTGAGGTACGGCAATTGCAATTTTTTTTTCTAAAAGTACTATCAAATTATATCTCTTCTACTGTGAAATTAACTGATTTTCTGAAAACATAGCTTTTCACATTGCAAAGTCAATGTAATTAATCATTGATGCAGATAAATGCTAGAAAGTATCAAATAATAAGAACATAAAGTACTATTATTCCAGAGCCATCTTTTTCCTTCAAACTCACTGAGTTATCCTTAATCTGATTACCTCTGGGATTTCATGCAGGACTTTTTTAAGCGTTTGGGGTTAGAATGATTTGAAGTGAATAATTCACTTATGTTAAGACAGAGAGATTGCTTTTCTCAGCGCCTTAAGCTACTAGTTATGATTTAGATTTTTTTGTTTAATGGAATTAACTGAACTCATCAAAGTTAGCTGGAATTCAACAACAGTTTTTTAGAACTGCAAAGCTTTGAAGAAATAAGTGTGTTAGTATATTTTTAATGCAGGGGTTCCCAATCTTTTCTATATCCTGCACCCATAGAACGTTTCTGATATATTCTTGCACCCTTTAAAAATATTATATGCATATAATTATAGATATACACTATAACTTTGAAACTTCTAAACCCAATTTTTTGCACCTCCTGGAATATTATCTCACACCTCCAGGGCATGTGAGCACCCCTGGTTGGGAACCCCATGGAAATAAGCAGATATTTAATCAATTACTGGAAATGTGACCATGAATTAGACAATCTACTACCACATGTGGTGGTCGTGCCAAAAAAACAAAAGAATATTAGCAGAAAATCCAAAAGTGGCTGATAGAAATAACTGAAGAGGAAATAGAATTCACACCAGAACTATTTCTTTTGGGAATTATAAATAATAAATATACAAGGGGGTAATTTACTTAACAATACATGTTATTACGGCAGCAAGAATGGTCTTTGCCCAAAATTGGAAAAACAGGGAACCGCCACAAGAAGGGAAAATAATTAGGAAAGTTCTGACCTGTGTGGAAATGGATAAATTGATGTGGGAATTGAAGAATAAAGACAAATCAGAATAATATAAGATCTGGGATAAATTTTATCAATGGTTGGAACAAAAAAGGAAAGACCCAAAATAGGCAATGGCTAAGATTCATAAAATGGAGACTAAAATTATGTATGAAACTATAATAGTGAAAATGTATAAGATAAACACAAAGCAACATGGTTGGAAATATGATATTTTTATATTTGTAAATATGTAATATATCAAATGTTAAAAAGCAGGGTAGTTACAATGTATAACTTTATGTCTTAGCATGTATGGCATAGATTTTGCCAGGACGGTTACACTGTGTCCAATGTTTTAATTTGTGTTCAATAAAAAACTTTTTAAAAAAGAAAAAAAATAAACAGATATTTTCCCTTCAATACAGGTGAAACTCAAAAAATTAGAATATCGTGCAAAAGTTCATTTATTTCAGTAATGCAACTTAAAAGGTGAAACTAATATATGAGATAGATTCATTACATGCAAAGCAAGATAGTTCAAGCTGTGATTTGTCATAATTGTGATGATTATGGCTTACAGCTCATGAAAACCCCAAATCCACAATCTCATAAAATTAGAATATTGTGGAAAGGTGC